GCACCATCCAAACCCTAGAGGACATGTTGAGAGTGTGTGTCATTGACTTCAAAGGTAATTGGGATGACCACCTACCTTTAATAGAATTTTCCTACAACAATAGCTACCACTCGAGTATTGCTATGGTATCCTTTGAAGTACTTTATGGTAGAAGGTATCGATCTCCGGTTGGGTGGTTTGAAGTAGGTGAATTTGCTCTTCTTGGTCCCGAGGTAGTCTATGAGGCTATGGAAAAAGTTTGACTTATAAGGGATAGGTTGAAAATGGCTCATAGTCGGCAAAAGTCTTATGCCGATAATAGAAAGAGAGATCTTGAATTTGAAGTAGGTCATTGGGTCTACTTTAAGATATTACCCATGAAAGCGGTGATGAGGTTTGGTAAAAAGGGGAAACTTAGCCCCTGGTATGTTGGGCCTTATGAGATCTTGAAGCGTGTCGGAAAGGTCGCTTATGAGTTGAAATTGCCCATCGAATTGGCCCCGATTCAGCCGGTGTTCCATATTTCTATGTTAAAGAAGTGCATAGGTGACCCGGTGTCCATTCTCCATCTAGAAGGTTTAGGGGTGACTGAAGAGGTTCCGGTTGAAATCTTAAATCGTCATGTTAAGAAGTTGAGGAATAAAGAGGCTGCCTCCGTAAAAGTCCTATGGAGAAACCACCTAGTCAGGGTGCACATGGGAGGCTGAGGCCGACCATGAAGTCCCCGCTTACCATTCCATCTTTTTCCTCCTACTCTTAGCCAAAGTTGAGGTTTAGTAGTCTCTCTTAATTAGGTATAAATTGAAATTCATGTGTGTTGATGATTATGACATGATTTCCTTGTATGTGCATATTTTTTGTGAAAAATTCATGCTTAAAGTTGTAAATTGAGTTTTCATGAATTTTGTTTCTCATGATTGAAATTGCACCGATAGATGTTGTGTGATCTTGTCTTCATGAGAGTTGTTATGAGCATGCTTGATGTTGTCTCGCTAAAGAAATGTCTTGTTGATTGCTTAATATATATGTCAATGCTCATTGAATATGGAGAAGGTAGTTCCTCCTATACTTATGTGAGTAAGAGTTTTGAGCATAGTGATGTTGTGGATTAAATCCCTATATGATATGATGATATGATGTTGTTGATGTGACTGGTTGTTGTGCTGCTAGTTTGAGTCGTTGTCTCCCTAGAAAGAAGACCAAGTGACATTCGGGGACGAATGTTCCTAAGGGGGGGATATTGTAACACCCCGGAAATACTATGACTTAAGTTAGAGCCTCACCTTATGAATAATGACTTAAAAATAGTTAAAATGATGTTTATAAACCTAAACTAATGTAATTGACTTGGTTTGGAAGAGTAGAAGTCTAAACGTCAAGAAACGACCGCGACTTCCGGAAACCAGAGAAGAATGTGTTCTAGTGTGTCCTTAGGTTTTGGGAAGGTTTGGGAGTGTCGTATGATGGTATAATCTGGTGAAAAGGTTTAAACTAGATAAACATATGTTTCTAGGGTCAAAACGTTCGAATACGACTCCCCGGGGCCACCCTAAGGGACCCTGAGGAGGACCCCAACCTTAGCCAAGCAAGCTGCCAAGGCAGCTTGCAGATTGCACTTGGAGGGAATAGATGTGCGTCGCGCACTTGCTCCCCCAAGGATAAAAATTTCAGTTTGCAACGCGGTCATGTCGTGGACTCTACTGTCTCAAAATTTCATTCCAAATATCTTCAGGGAACAGCTCCGCGTCGCGGACTTGTTTCGCGACTAAAATGCAAAAATTCAGAAATCTATTTCACTTCATTAAAGAGTCCATCTAAGTGAGGGGTATTTAGGGTAATTTTGGGGATGTGTATATAATGATTTTTAAGTAAATTTATCTCACTTTTATCACTCAAAACACAAAACCCCAAAGATCTATACCTAAAGTTCCTCCTTCTCTCTACTCTCTCTCTCTTCTCAAGAACTCCATTGAAGAAGATTGGAACTTCAAGAAGAAGAACAACTCTCCAAG